AAAAAAAATGTTTCTAGGTGTGATGGTACCGCCTTCGAGCCCAGAGAAATGAGCTCAAAGCCARCAGGGATCAGTCTGAGTCACAGCGAAGGCCTTCAAAGCACTCCAGCCTCTGTTAGCACTCAGCTTTTAAAGCCTTCGACTGTATTTAATCCCAAGATAGGATCAAATGCATTCTCATAAAGAAGTGTTTAAAGTGACACGTTAGTTTTAAAAAGGTCAAAAGTTAAACACTAGTGTTAAAAGTGCGAGCAGAAACTAAAGCACTTRCACAACAAATGCTCACATTTTTTTCTTTTCACTGTAGGTTTCTGCACGTGTGAAGGTGTGTCCAAGTAATCAACTCCTGCTTAATTAAAGCAACACCCACCGCAGGCCGCTGAGCTGATGAATGCTTAACTAGATGGTCAAAGGTCAGCTGGCAGAAACAAACACCAATTTTTCTTTCCTATGATAAGTTTTCTTTAGTTTGGCTAGCTGTAATTTTATTGAATCATTAATTTTCCAAAGCTGATTACAAGTCTAACAAATACAAAACTCTGCCTCATCTGATTTATCTCAACTTCCCCCCTCCCAGTTATGAGGAGCAGAAGGTGTCTCCTCCCGAGTGCAATAACACCCACATTTGACGACCCCCTCCAATGAAGTGTGCATTATATTTTAAGTTATTAATGGAGTCCCGCAGGGCAAAATCTAATTACACAGTAGTTTGCAGAGTGATGTGCACGCATCCATCATCCCTGTGCTGTTTTGTACAGACAGGAGTGTCCACTGCTGCAGTTTTAATTTCCTCTCAACGGTGCAACTAGGTGTAATTGAACTATGTTCATAATTTCATCAGAGCACCTCTGATGAGCCAACACTTGGCAATTCATTGTTGCTTTATGGTTTTTTTACACACGTGTGTTGTTGATTACTCCCAGCTACTCAGATGCAGAGCTTCCTGATTGGTTCTAGCATCACCTGAATACAACTGACCCATTTCAGATAGACTATCTAAAGCAAATTGTCCAAAACATTATAACTTTACATCATCTTGTGTTATTTATGCTCTTGATGGATGAAGTTTGATAAAATTCTAGAGCTAAAAATGCTTGCATGAAAGAACGCCTGATTCACAAATGGCTGCTCATGAAAAACAGTTGTTCAGCTCTGAGGATGGCTCAGTTTTGAAGAATTTGACCTTTTATAAGGGCTGAATGATAATCAGGAAACATGAATATGTTTTAACATAGTAATATTTTGCAATTAGGGTAGGGTAAAATCGTATTGTGCGCAATTAATCATCAGTTAAACTGTCAGCAATTAAAACATGCTACTTTGCAATAATTACAATTATTGCCATGTGATGATGTATTCTGTGTACGACACACACTGTTAGGCRTACATGTGAGCCCAAAGGTGGAAGGAGTTGGTGTGGGTGGAGTTTGCCCTAACTGTGATTGGTCAGATTGACTTGTTTTGTGGGGCAACTTAAAAGAGGAAGTAATGATAATAGTAAAAAAATATATATATTTATTGTCTATGTACAGTTTAAAACAGAACAATGACTTAAATAAAAATTACAGTCAACATGTAAACATAATTTATTGACTTTAAATTTTGTGCTGTGTCATGGTCTAATTATTTATATCTGTTTCCCCTTGACACTGTCCATCGCTGTATCTTTCTGATAGCTCATTACGCTCTCGTTGTCTGGACAACGGGACTCCACAATGGACTGGTGGGAGTCTGTGATTGGCTGGACAGTACATTTGGCAATCTGTGATTGGTTGTAAACTGTCACATGGTGTTGACATGATGCATATCATTGGCTGAATTCTGCTGACGCGCCCAGTAGCAAGCGTGCAGAACCTTCCTGATTTCAGTTCTGTGTGTTTGTTGCTCACAATTAAATCATATTTGATTACCATAAACGCAGACTTTTCTCATTATTCCAACGTGTTTCTGCTTTTGCGACGACATGCTGCTAGCAATTTCCTGTCTCAAGTTATGACTAAAATTCACATTCATATGGATTTTTAGTCATCTTTTTAAAGGATGGTTAGGAATGTTTTGACTGAGCCAAATTGGTACACGCCCCACCACATGAATGATGTTCACATTTTGTGCAGCTAGCATGTTCCTGTCCAAGTTATGTCTAAAATTAAATCTCTACAGATTTTAATTAGATTGAAATTTATCTCTATATATATATATATTTTTAAAAACGGTGCGTCCTGCCCGATTTGACCAAGCTGCCCCCAACTTCTTCAAACCCCACCGTCAATCAGACCAGTCACGACTCGGGCCAACTCCTCCCACAATGTAAGAAACCCCCTTTTCACTCTAATTGTAATAAAAATAAAATACCTGGGATTATGCCACAAGCATTTGGTTTCACTTTTTAGCCACTGCCACCATTTACAGCTATGAGGGCTCTTTGATTGGCCAAGTATTTATGGCCATTAGAGAACATCAACAATTATTGCATTCAAGCAGTCCTTTGCATTGCTGATTTAACTCACAGATAACATAAGGAGAAATTTTGGAGATATGGTGCAGCTTTAGCTCTTATAACCCTAATTCTGAAAAATGATAGAATATTTTGTAAAATGTAAGCAAAAACAAAATGCAATGATTTACAAATCATAAATGGACATAGTAAATATGTGGTGAGGGTATGTTGTCTTTGTGACACAGCTAAAATAAACTTTGAAATGATTTTTGCTTCAGAGCACGCATGAATCACATTCTGCTCATTTTCTACATCATTGTTTTATTTATTTAGTTTTTGAACTGTTCCTCTTCATGTTTTCTGCATTCTTGTCCGTTTGTATCTGTGAACATGTCGAGATGTCGTGCTGGTGTGAGGGTAACTGTTAGCTCATGAGAGCTGGTCGAAGGTGCAGCATTGATTAACTATTGTCAAACAGCAGAACAGCGGTGTGGGCCGTATGTGTGAAAGTGGCTCAAACAGTCGGCGGTGGAAGCAGGTTCATGTCCCGGGACTCGGC